AATATTTTGGCTTGACATACACTTTTAAATGCAACTGAAGTCAAAACTGTTCTTTTTTTGTTTTAGATAGAGCAGACAGGGATTAGAACACCTGCCAGGTTTGTATTGCTGTCTGTGTCCCCGTTAGGGAGATTCCTCCTGTTTGGGGCTATTATCACTGAAAGAAAATCTAAAATGTGGGTTGTCACAAAAACATGAAGAGATGGGAAATCTTCCAATGGGGACACTGACCACCAGGGATTTCCTCTTATTTCCTGTTGTGACTATCAGACAGGAAGTGAAGGAAAATCTCCTCCACTGGGACACAGATGACAAAATAACTGACAGGGCTTACCGTATTACCCTTCCTTACTCAATCCAAAATAAAATAAAAAAAAAGTTTTGGCTTCAGCTCTACTTTACGGCCTGGTTCACATCTAGGCGGCACAGTTTTTGCGCGTTTTTACGTGAGTTAGTAGCATGCGGTTATTTGTGCGTTTATACGCATTGTGCACATTTTTAATGCATGTTTTAACGAGCGTACATGAAGATGGCGTTTTGACTGGCAGTTCATAAATCATTGTGGGCAATGGAAGAACATGTTTAAAGGCGCAAAAACGCTCACGAAAATGTGCAACATGCCGTTTTTGGGCATTTCCAATGAAGTCTATGGGGCAGAAAAGAGCCTTTAACTGCCCAAAGAAGCTCCTGTACCTTTTTGGGCATTTGGCGCTTTCCTGCTCAGGTGTGAACCAAGGCCATTGAAAATCGTGGGATTTCTTGTGTTGGGCAGTTAAAAGCGCTTTTCGAACTGCTCAAAAACTCCTAGGTGTGAACCAGGACTTAAAGTGACATTAAACCCTCAGATTTTTTAACATAAACCAATACTGTAATGTGCGCCTTACTGTAATCCATGGTAGTTTTCCTTCTCTTTGCTGCTCTTACTTTTAAATCTGTATCTCTTCTCATGCTTGGGGACAACTTATGTTTTGCAGCAGACTGCCTTGTCTCAGGAATGGATACATGGTGTCTGTGTGCAGGTTCACAACCTGAGCCAGCACTACAGGAAGAGGCACTCAGCTGCAAAGGGAAGTTCTCCCCCAGCATGAGAAGACATGAGGATTTAAAAGGAAGAGCAGCAAAGAGAAGGAAAACTACCATGGATTACAGTAAGGCACACATTACAGTATTGGTTTATGTTAAAAAATCTGAGGGTTTAATGTCACTTTAATGTACTAAATGGTGTTTCTCTTTAGATTACTTTCCTGTTATCTCTTTCACTGTAGGTCTCAGGTTGGGAGGAGCAGCACTGTGAGCCAATCAGGCTCTACAGCATTCTGCATTGCTGTCCACTTAACACTGGGTGCTTGCTGACGGGAGGAGAAAGAAGAATGATGACCGGTGCAGTGATGCTCCTTCATTGTCCAATCAGAAGGTTGTGGCAGGTTGGTGACCATCCTTTACTGCCTACCTACTGTAGAGAAAGGTAGGGGTCACCGACCTAGCTATGATATCAGGTAGAGGTGTGCCTGATATCATAGCAGCTCTACCAACATTTTGGCAGAAATGACAGTTCACGCAGAAGTATTTCAAATGTGTATGGAGGTGTTTACCTAGAGTTCTGCTTCCACAAGTCACGTGTTGATTCATGTTTCCGAATTAAATATTAAAATTTGAACTCTTTTTAGTTTTAGACACCGTGCTGAAGAGTTTTTAGAAGCTGAGGTCTTTATTGCTGTATGTGGTTTGAAGTTTCAAATACTAAAGTGGAACTCTAGCCAAAACCCCAGTGGGAACAAAAACAGCAATACAAATCTGAGAAGGGTAGTACCTCAGGGTACTAACCCTTCCTCACTGTTTCCTGAACTGAAAATATCTGGAGTTCCACTTTAGGATGTGTAATGACTACTGCAAATATTAACATATGGTCCTAATAAAACATGATGGTAAAGTAATATGAGAGCTACAATATCTTGCTTCATATACATCCATCCTGCTGTAACAGCCATTGGTATGTATAGGAATAGTGCTGCTCACCTCTATCATATACAGAAATGTATATATATGAGCGGTCTTATCAGTCAAACTATTTACAATGCTGCTCAGCCACTATCAGACATCATAGCCCTTGGCTTGATCTCATCTTTCTCCACCACAGTTAAATAGAACAGTTTGGTCAGCCTGTGATTGGACAGTGAAGGGGCAGCATTACACTAAATAAGTCATCCTTCTGCTCACACTGCCAGTGTGCTGAGATCACAATGCATTGCTACACATACTCCTTTTCCAAACAAACCTGCTTGCGTTCCACCCATGACAGCCGGAGAGTCAGGATGGAGAGGGGGGGCTGGAGAGAGAGCTGGCACCACCCCACCCTGTGACAGGCAGAGGAGTCAGGATGGAGAGTGGCTTACAAGCATTCACCAATCAGCTGGTCGCTGAGGGTTTGTAAATAACTGAGGACATAGTGTGCTTACTGTGTCCCCTGTTATGAATGAACAGGAAGTGCTATTCATCACTTCCTGTTCATTCATGATTGTGGACATAGTAACTCATACTATCTGCACAGTTTATGAATAGACAGGAGCACTCAGCATAAAGGATGTAGAAAAAGAGATTTAGGACTCTGTGTCTTCAACTTCTTTTACTTTTCTAAAAGGGAGATATCAGGGGTCTGTTTAGACCCCTAACATTTCCCCAAAGCCCCCGACAGAAAAGTAAAAATAAAATAAAAACAATTTAAAGGGTTTTAAAACGGTTGAAAATAAAACGTAATTTTCAGTTTTGGCCTGACACGTTTTATTTTCAGTTTTGCTCTTAAAATTCAATTTCAGTGCATCTCGAACTATTTAAAAATGCAAGTATGAATTACTGTATATGACCCTCACCTGTCCTGTATTTACCTAGAAGCTCCACGCATGACCCTCACCTGTCCTGTCTTTACGTAGGAGCTCCACACATGACCCTCACCTGTCCTGTCTTTACTTAGGAGCTCCACACATTACCCTCACCTGTCCCGTCTCTATTTAGGAGCTCAATGCATGACCCTCACTTGTCCTGTCTTTACCTAGAAGCTCCACACATTACCCTCAACTGTCCTGTCTTTACTTAGAAGCTCCACACATGACCCTCACCTGTCCTGTCTTTACGTAGGAGCTCCACACATTACCCTCACCTGTCCGGTCTTTACTTAGAAGCTCCACGCATGACCCTCACCTGTCCTGTCTTTACGTAGGAGCTCCACACATGACCCTCACCTGTCCTGTCTTTACTTAGGAGCTCCACACATTACCCTCACCTGTCCTGTCTCTATTTAGGAGCTCCATGCATGACCCTCACCTGTCCTGTCTTTACTTAGAAGCTCCACACATTACCCCACCTGTCCTGTCTTTACTTAGGAGCTCCACACATTACCCTCACCTGTCCTGTCTATATTTAGGAGCTCCACACATGACCCTCACCTGTCCTGTCTTTACGTAGAAGCGCCACACATGACCCTCACCTGTAATGCCTTTACCTAGAAGCTCCAGATATGACCCTCACCTGCCCTGCCTTTACCTAGAAGTTCTATATATGACCCTCACCTGTCCTGTCTATATCTAGAAGCTCCACACATTACCCTCACCTGTCCTGTCTTTACTTAGAAGCTCCACACATTATCCTCACCTGTCCTGTCTTTACTTAGAAGCTCCACACACGACCCGCGCCTGTCCTGTCTTTACCTACAAGCTCCATACATGACCATCACCCTCCCTGTCTTTACCTAGAAGCTCCATACATGACCACTACCTGTCTTGGCTTTACCTAGAAGCTGCATACATGACTCTCATCTGTCCTGCCTTTACCTAGAAGCTCCATACATGACCCTCACCTGTCCTGCCTTTACCTAGAAGCTCCATATATGACCATCACCTGTCCTGTTTTTACCTAGAAGCTCCATACATGACCCTCACATGTCCCGCCTTTAGCTAGAAGCTCCAGATATGACCCTCACCTGTCCTGCCTTTACCTAGAAGCTCCAGATGTGACCCTCACGTGTCCTGCCTTTACCTAGAAGCTCCATACATGACCCTCACCTGTCCCGCCTTTAGCTAGAAGCTCCAGATATGACCCTCACCTGTCCCGCCTTTAGCTAGAAGCTCCAGATATGACCCTCACCTGTCCTGCCTTTACCTAGAAGTTCTATATATGACCCTTACCTGTCCAGCCTTTACCTAGAAGCTCCAGATATGACCCTCACCTGTCCAGCCTTTACCTAGAAGCTCCAGATATGACCCTCACCTGTCCTTCCTTTACCTAGTTCTATATATGACCCTCACCTGTCCTGCCTTTACCTAGAAGCTCCAGATATGACCCTCACCTGCCCTGCCTTTACCTAGAAGTTCTATATATGACCCTCACCTGTCCTGCCTTTACCTAGAAGCTCCAGATATGACCCTCACTTATCCTGCCATTACCTAGACGTTCTATATATGACCCTCACCTGTCCCTGCCTCTACCCAGAAGCTCCATACACGACGACTACCTTTCCTGCCTTTTTAAGCTCCAGCTGGATGTTCGACAGCCAACAGAAAAGCCAAACCAAAACGCAGTAGCGAACCAGTGACGTCACCACGGCAGTCCGCGTTCTCGGCTTTGCAGGCACGAATCACGGCGGGGACGCGCATCTCCCGGATCCATCGGGAAAGGGAGAGGGGCGGTGCCGGCAGTGGACGATCCCACATCTCGGCAGGAAGGGAGGGGTTGTCGGCGGTACTGGGCAGGCGTGTCATCGCGTTAAACTGCGGAGCATGGGAGCTGTATGAGCGGACCCCCCTTCCCTCCCCCATAACAACAAACCCCCTCCTCCTCTACTCGGGCCGTCGGGATTACAGCCGTATCTCCTCAGCGCTGCTCTCCTCCCTGTGAGGCCCGCAGCTGGCTCCTGTAGCGGGAGGACAGGCAGCATGTCGCGCTCCGTGCTGCAGCCCAGTCAGCAGAAGCTGGCCGAGAAGCTCACCATCCTCAATGACCGGGGTGTCGGCATGCTCACCCGCCTCTACAACATCAAGAAGGTAAAGCGGGGGCGCTGCGGGGCTCTGAGCCTGTGTGCGGGGCCTCTGTGCCGGGCTCCATTACACGGGAAGAGCCGGGGCTGTACCGGTCCGGGGGCGGCCTGGTACACGGAGAGGGCAGAGGGGTACACGGGGGAGGGGGTGAGGGGCACACCTCCATTCCATCCAGCAGCAGAGCTCCCTGGGCGGTGCAGGCTGAGGGATCCCAGCTGCAGGGAGTGGGAGGAGGAAATCCTCCATGATGGCACAAATCACTGCTACACATCTCCTGCACGGATAGGAGTGTCCTGAGGGAGCTGTCATGGTCATCCTGATGATTCATGTACTATCATTCCCAGGGACTGCCCCAGCGATTACAGCCCTGACTGGAGAAGTTTACTGTCACAAGTCTGATTGTCTGTAATGATGATGAATTGCATCGGACGATGATCCATCTGGAGAAATGAGCAGCCCTGTGGTGGGCTCCCCTGTACTGCAAGGGTTAAATCTATAGGGAGAAGGTGTAACCCCCCCACACACACACACCGTACAATCCGATTGTACTATCTTCTTCAGCCATGAGGAGGATGTGCGTTTGTGGGCACTTGGCGTGCATCTCCATTGATCTGCATTGGGTTCCTGGATGTGCGCCAAAAGTACAAGTTGCAAATTTGATGCAAATGCGTGGGGAAAAAAGAGCGTTTGCTTGGACGCGTCTGGGCTGCCATTACCTACTAATGGCGACGCGAGTGTGAATGTGCGTTAAAGCCCGGTCGTAGATCTGCCAACAACTATGTGGTGGAAGGGTCTGGCTGGAGAGGTTTGGTAGGGCCCTATTGGATAGAATTGGTAAATTTTAAAAGCTGATTGCACGGAGAGATTGCAACGTGTATGGTGACCCTATCATGTACCTTTGTCCTCGCTCCTGCACTCTCCTCTTTGATACTTAAGGTTATGGTGGTTCCTCACGTCCAATATAGCATCACATGTCCCTGCGTTGTAGATGATGGCGTGTGGCTGAATTTATCCACTTGGAGAGGTTGCTCCTGGCAACCAATCAGCTTCTCTTTTTATTTTCTAAAGCTGGCCATACACCTATAGATTATCTGCAGATTTTCTATGGCCAGATGGAGAAAGTGAAAAAGATTCCTCCATCTAGGGTAGCGTAGTGGTTAGCGCTTCTGACTTGCTGCACTGGGGTCCCTGGTTCGAATCCCGGTCAGGTCACTATCTGACCGGGAGTTTCCTCCCACACTCCAAAGGAAGGTAAATTGGCCCTGTATGTATGTATGCATGTGAGATAGGGACCTTAGATTGTAAGCTCCATGAGGGCACGGACTGATGTGAATGTGCACGATGTAAAAGCGCTGCGTAAATTGTTGGCGCTATATAAATAAATCTATACTAAGCTGTGTGGATGGAGGAATCTCCCACTGGGCCAAGCTTCAGTATCTTGCTAGTCGGCCCCGCTGGCTGTCAAAACATCTGAACAATGCCTGCATCCAGTCAGATTGTTCAGGTATTTTGGGCTGACGAAGCAAGATACTGAAGCTTGGCCCCGTGAGAGATTCCTCCATCCACACAGTTTAGCGTAGGTTTTGATCTGTTGCACAATCTAACCATAGAAAATCTGCAGGTAATCTATAGGTGTATGGTTTATAGGTGCAGCTTTACACGCCTGGCAATGAGGGGACCTGATCTTTCTCTGCTCACTTAGGTGTAGCCTACATATTTTTTTTTAGCTTTATTTTGTTAGTAGTGTAGTGAAGGGTTAAACTGGCTTGGTTATTTTATTTATTTTGCTGTCTGAATACCATTTGGGGAATTTCCTTTTATCTTCCTTTCCCAGAGATGCAACAGGAAGTGAGAGGAAATCTCTAAAGGTGCCCATACACTGCACGATTCACGTACGACAATCGTAAGATCAATGCCGCACGCGCACACTGCCGGTTCAGCATTGCGGTCATCGGAAGCCCGCCACTCGGGGGCGGGCTTGCGATGATCGCAAGTACGATCTGCCTGTTCAAGATGGGCAGATCGTACGTTTTTTTTAAAAATGACTTTACATCCATCGCAAGACTAAGGTATGGCCACCTTTTAGTGAGGGGACTTCCCATCTCCCCATCGCCCTCCTAACGAACTGTCCTGTCTATCGTTATATTGTGCAGATCTGGACAATAGGCTCTCTTCCTATTCTGGGGGCCAATCCAACATTTTGGGTTTCTCTTCACTTTCTTTATCAATGGCAATGGTCACCAATACAAATAGAGGGGTGAATCTCCCCAACTCGGGACACAGACAGCAATTTAAAAAAAAACACAACAGAGGGTCTAACTCTTCCCCGATCTATGGACAGCTAAAAAGTGTTTTGCTTAGAGATGCACATTACCTTGCAGGTCTCCTTCACAATCTGTAACTGGACAGTGACAGGAGAAGCAGCAGACTGATCAAGATCATATCTCTGTCGCTCTATTCTGTCCTCCTATCAGCGTGCTCCTTTTACTGCAACACACCTGATTCACTCATCATGTTACTTCCCCTCCCCCTTATTAAGCTCTGCTGTACAGGGACTACATGAGGCTGATGCACATCACACTGAGGAATGTACACTGCTTGTATGTAAATAATACATCTAGAATGTGATTATTAGAGCTGTGTTTGTCATCTTTCTGTGGCTCAGCTTTAATAGCTGCTCTGTATTTTATGAACAAACTGGTATGAATACTGGGATTACTGCAAACTGGTATGAATACTGGGATTACTGCAAACTGGTATGAATACTGGGATTACTGCAAACTGGTATGAATAACAATGCCGCACGCGCACACTGCCGGTTCAGCATTGCGGTCATCGGAAGCCCGCCACTCGGGGGCGGGCTTGCGATGATCGCAAGTACGATCTGCCTGTTCAAGATGGGCAGATCGTACGTTTTTTTTAAAAATGACTTTACATCCATCGCAAGACTAAGGTATGGCCACCTTTTAGTGAGGGGACTTCCCATCTCCCCATCGCCCTCCTAACGAACTGTCCTGTCTATCGTTATATTGTGCAGATCTGGACAATAGGCTCTCTTCCTATTCTGGGGGCCAATCCAACATTTTGGGTTTCTCTTCACTTTCTTTATCAATGGCAATGGTCACCAATACAAATAGAGGGGTGAATCTCCCCAACTCGGGACACAGACAGCAATTTAAAAAAAAACACAACAGAGGGTCTAACTCTTCCCCGATCTATGGACAGCTAAAAAGTGTTTTGCTTAGAGATGCACATTACCTTGCAGGTCTCCTTCACAATCTGTAACTGGACAGTGACAGGAGAAGCAGCAGACTGATCAAGATCATATCTCTGTCGCTCTATTCTGTCCTCCTATCAGCGTGCTCCTTTTACTGCAACACACCTGATTCACTCATCATGTTACTTCCCCTCCCCCTTATTAAGCTCTGCTGTACAGGGACTACATGAGGCTGATGCACATCACACTGAGGAATGTACACTGCTTGTATGTAAATAATACATCTAGAATGTGATTATTAGAGCTGTGTTTGTCATCTTTCTGTGGCTCAGCTTTAATAGCTGCTCTGTATTTTATGAACAAACTGGTATGAATACTGGGATTACTGCAAACTGGTATGAATACTGGGATTACTGCAAACTGGTATGAATACTGGGATTTCTGCAAACTGGTATGAATACTGGTGGATTACTGCAAACTGGTATGAATACTGGTGGATTACTGCAAACTGGTATGAATACTGGTGGATTACTGCAAACGGTATGAATACTGGGATTACTGCAAACGGTATGAATACTGGGATTACTGCAAACTGGTATTAATACTGGTGGATTACTGCAAACTGGTATTAATACTGGTGGATTACTGCAAACTGGTATTAATACTGGTGGATTACTGCAAACTGGAATGCACCCCAGCAGGTTCCTCGGACCGGCGTGTGCCCCAGCAAATTACTTTTGCTATCTTTCTTCTGGGGTTCATGTTAAGATGTCATTGTGTAGATGGGATCTCTCCAGGATGACATCGGGTGTCACGACACTTGATGTGTGCAGTTGATGAAAGCACTTGGCTCATGCCCACGGGTATACAGTACGTTGTGTACTGATCGGTACTCTATACAGGTTTGAACAAAGTGGGGGTGTACACTATGGCCCCTGCACGCTGCTCTGTTTTGGTCCGAAGCATTGAGCTGCATAAAGCAAAAATAGTAAAATCTTTGTTCAGCATCTTGTGTATGGGCTGTATTTTGTGATGTACACATGTAAACATGTGTGCTTACATTTACATGTGTGCAGTGTACACGGACTGTATTGGTTGCCCTTTTCCCCATGACATACCACTAGTGAGTAGCCAGTGACTCCATCACTGATTATACACGAGATGTTGACATCTCCCCCCTGAATTTGTCGTTCATAGATGGCAGTACATACACAGATTGACCTCGTCTGATTCTGACTGACTGTGCAAGGTCATTCTGTGCATGAACTGCGTCCTGAATGACTAATCGAAGGGAGATGTAAACCTCCATAGTGTGTATCAGCGACACTGCACACTTATATGTTGGCCGTAAACAATGGTGGTGAACAGGGCCCATGTATGAATGTAAACATGACATGCGCACAGACAAGCCTGCTGCTAGCAAGATCCTGGATAAAAAAAATGTTCACTGTATGCATAATCCCTACAAGAAACCTGTGTCCAGGGGGTATACAGATCAGGTGTTGTCTTCTCTGGCTGCATGCTTGTTGTAAGTCAGAGACTCGGGGAAAGCATTTGTATCAGGTTATGCTATGGCAGCCCTTATGTGACACATCATAGGATGCTTTAACCACTTTCCGCTCACACAAATGCAGGGAACATGTTCTGTGGATCGGAATGATTATTGCATTGATTATAGATTTGTAATCATTGGAGGAAGTCACTGAAGTTAATATTTGGCATATCGGTGACATTAGGAATGTGTCCCAGATAATAGGTGTTTGCTTGGACTGTCTGTACAGATAAGTTG